ATGCAGATTTCTTTAACAATTCTTCAAAGAATTTTAGGGAGATGTTTTAATATATGAATGTATAGTTTACTGTCAAGTAGTTTCAGTAATAAACATATGGTCAGGACAGGGTTGCTGCCAGGCTGGACTTAAATGCTCGTCAGAGAGCCCAGCACCTCCTGACAATCAAACTGGCTTCACTGCAGTATCTAGATACAGACCTCTGTGTTCAACAGAGAGGTGGTGGCAGCTTTTGCTCACATGGTAGAAAATTTACCCACCCTATCACTGGGGAATAGTGCTGTCTGTCTCTGCCAGTATCAAAGAGCTCAAAGCTGGCAATTGCCAAGCTACAATAATGGCTCTGGCTTGAGGGTGGGTAACTCCATTTGGCTCCTAATCTCGTTTGTACTATTTCTGCGCTGTGTGACTTTGGGCTTGTTTACTTTAGCTGCCTCAAACCTGGTGTCCTCATTTTCAAAATGGAGGCAATATAGAAATTACATAATTCTGAGGAAGTTTGAGAAGAATTTGCAAAAAGCCAAGGAGCCAATGCATAGCAGGTATTCCCTCGAGTTAGCCTCTTCTTTGAGTGTTTGCTACCAGGAAGTTGAGAGACAGATTGATAACTAAAAGTTAGTAACTTTTGCAGGCACCTGCACACACATACACACACATACACATTCACATACATAAATAAAAAGATACAATAAATATATCTTGAAAATGTTATCTGTGGGGTGTGTTCCTAATTTATAACAACTTGTCTCAAACTGTTCCTGACTTAGCAGAGCACTTAATGGTTCAATGTCTGGGATTTCAATATGATCTAGCCTGCATATCTATATTTAATTATGATATAATTATATTATAATGTTTCATTGACTTTCTTCTTTTTATTTATAATTTTCTGATCTTAATTTTTTTACTATTGTTTTATCATTGGTGCTCTTGTTGGGCATTTCCCTAAATTCTTGGCAGAACTATGTAGATAGGCTTTAACTGATACAAGGAAAAAAATGTATCCTGGTTATGACCTGTCAAAGACCATGTACTTTGTACCCCCATTTCCTTACTTGTAGAATAGGCACCATATTAAACCTATAAGTTATCCACGACATGGAAATAAGGATCTACTGTTGAAATGTGTTGCACAAATAAAAATATTTCTCTGGAGGCTGGAGAGATGTCTCAGTGGTTAAAGGCTCTTGCTTGCTGCTCTTCCAAAGGACCCGAGTTTGGTTCTCAGTGCCCAAATCAGGGGGTTCACAGTCTCCTGTAACTCTAGCTCCATGGGAATGCAGTCAAGGGTAGCCAGTGCAGTATGAGAAAGGTGAACAAGCTCCCGTGTCCTAGGGATACAACTGTGATTTCGTTTGAAGCATTTTATTTTGTCTGAAAATGAGCCAGGAGAAGACACACAAATACAGAAGATAAAGAAGCAGATATAAGCATGATATATGAGGCTAGTACTTGAAGAAAGACCCAGAAAACAATCCCAGTGAGCTAAAGATCACAGGAAAAAAATTACAAGTACTCAAGGCAGCCAAGATCACAATCAGATTACCTAATAAAAGCCAGCTTTTCCTTAAATGGAAAACAATGCGCATTGTTTGCCCTTGAAATGTTTCATGCACTGCTTTTAAAAGAATGCCTAAGCACTCCACAGCAACAGCCCATATCTGACAGAGCCCTGTCACCCTGCTGCCCCAGAGGTCATTGTTGCTATACAACGTTGGGAGGCTTGACTGAATAGATGTTGCCAAACGTAGCAGTCACTGGTAATAGATAAGGCTAGAACACAGACCTAAGCAGGAAGAGGCAGAATTTGCATAAAGCTAGGGCCCACATGCTCAATAATGAAATAATTGCTTAAAGCATGTCCTTCTACAATCTTACCCAGTGTAACAACAGTTCACCTGCCCTTCCTCTCTCAATGCTGCCTCAAAATTTGCACATAATCTCAGTCACTCTTAAAGATGCCAATTCAGAAGCCAGACAACCACTTCCCTAATGTCACGAAAATAGATTCAATTTTACACACATCAGGGTGATTTTAGAAACAATTTCTACATCTCCAGTGTAAGCATTACTTACATTTTCCCCCTTCAAATCTCATCCCAGTGGTTCCATAGGGCATTCTAAAAGTTACCTGATGCATTTTAGGGCATTAAAAAAAAAAGAAAAAATCCCCAGAGTGTGTTTACAGCTGCAGCCCTAGATACTAGATGTGCAGAAAGAATTCTAAAATATTCAATGATTCAAACAAATGCAAGATTTCATAATAACTGAATATAACCAGTCAATTGAAAGTTTTTTCTGTCTTTTAAAAAGGAATATCATTAAAAATAAATATATATACACAGAGACATAGGAGTTCACATGGTTTTCTGTATGTGTGTGTATACAAAATGTAAAATATGGACACCTCACACATAGAATTGTTTGGGAAGACTATCCTTGATCTTTAAAATGCCTCATCAAGCCAGGCGGTGGTGGTGCATGCCTTTAATCCCAGCACTTGGGAGACAGAGCCAGGCGGATCTCTGTGAGTTTGAGGCCAGCCTGGGCTACCAAGTGAGTTCCAGGAAAGGCGCAAAGCTACACAGAGAAACCCTGTCTCGAAAAACCAAAAAAAAAAAAAAAAAAAAAAAAACCTCATCAGATTCCACTGAATGTTCTTCCCCTTTCTTTCTCTTAAGTGAAGAATCCACCCCAGTCTTTAGCATTTTTATCTGGAGGGTCTAACATTTTGTCCATAGTGAAAACAGTGGTGATATTTCTCTTTGAAATCAGTGTGACCTAGGTTGTTTTCCCATGTGACTAGCAAGCTTGAGATTAAATACCTACAATTTCAGGGTCACAGTGATTGTCAAGCTTCTTGGACCACAATCTTTCAGCATCTGATGCCTTTCCAAGGTACTTCTATAACAAGAAAAAAGTGTGCACACTAGGCTGGGCTATACAGGAGAAGTTTGGTATGAGTCAGTATCACTAGGCCCAGTTTCAAGAAAAACTTGCAAGACTCAAAGTAGAAGGGCCAGGGACAACTCAGTGCACCTCACTTTCTTCAAGGACATGCCAGGCCCGTTTCCTACCCAGCCCTCCTGTGCCTTTCCAGTTCTTTGTCGGTCTCCCACTTCAGCATCCTTAGGAAGTACATGAGTCCATGTAATTCACTTATATTAAGGCATGAAAGGGCTGTGTGTAGGATTAAGCAGATCACAGATAGCCTCTCATCTCTAAGAAGAAGCAAAAATTAAGTATTTGTTCATAAGATCATCAGTATATTTTTAGATTTTTGTTGTAAAAGCCATATTCAACTCCCTCCCCCCACCCCAAGACAGGGTTTCTCTGTGTACTTTTAGTGCCTGTCCTGGATCTCACTCTGTGGACAAGGCTGGCCTCAAACTCACAGAGATCTGACTGTCTCTGACTCCCGCGTGCTGGGATTAAAGGCGTGCGCCACCACCGCCTGGCTAAACCTTCCAAGTTTTATGCGGCACTCCAGCTTAGGGGTCTTAAATCCATGAGATGATCTATGTGACTCTGGGAAGTTGAAACAAAAATCTCTTCCCTACAAAATAGGCTTTGCAAAACTAAGTATCTCATAGGATTGTGGTTAAAAGGAGACGAGAGTGTCTGCATCATAGATGTTATATATATATATATATATATATATATATATATATATATATATATATATATATATATATATATAACACATCTATGATGATATATATAACACCATCTATGATATATATATATAATATATATATGTATATATATATATATATATATATATATATATATATATCGGTTTCCTTTACTATTTCATGTTCTCATCACTCCACATCCCCCAGAAAGACCATATCTAAAGTAGTCTTTACAAAATGTGGTTCCTTCTGTCTATAATGTATAAAATATATAGTGAAAAGTGATTATATTATTATCAAATCCAGGAAAGAACTAGCTTATAGCATGGTTGAAAGACAAGAATGAAAAGCAGCTTTCTCAAACCTGGCCACCAAACCAGGCTTATAACTACCCAGCCTTGGAGTGCTCCTTTGGATGAGTCAACCATGGAATCTAAACTACTTATATTAGCCAAGGATGCCTTATTAACTCCATGAAGATGAAGATAGTTTTGACCTAATAGAACTGTTTAGGGCTCAGGAGGTACAACTTCCAGTAGGTACATGGAACCCTGAACTTTAAGATTTTAGAAACTGTTTCTTAAATATTAGGGACAAAGATAGAAACATTCTGTGACTCATCTGCCTTACACAGTAAATGTGAGATAGTTTTGAAAATTGTCAGCCACTAAATTCAGTACAGTATGCTTTTTGCCTTAAGGTCACAATCCTTCTCCTCCTCCTCCTCCTTTGTAACTATTATTATTTTTAACTACCTGTCTCTATTCAGGATGACTTGTTCCCATTCCATCTGCTTAGGCATAGATTCTGTTTTTTTCTCTTTTTGTTTTGAATATGTGGTTTATGGGTATGTGTACATTCACGTGTATTTGCATGTGTGTGCTTGTGCATGCATGTGGACATCAGCAGTTGGTATCTTATAACTTCCCCAATCACTCCCTACCTTATTTCTGGAGGTAGGTTCTCTCACTGGACTTGGAGCTCACTGATTAGGCTAGACTGACTGACCAGCAAGCCCCAGGGAGTCCCCTTGTCTCTAGCTCTCCAGTGTTGAGCTTACTGGCACATGCCACCCAGACTAACATTTTCTTTGGGTGCTGGGATCCAAACTCAGGTCTTCATGCTCATGTGGCATGTCCATTGGCTGAGCCCCCTCCCCAGTCCCATGTTCTTAATTATTCTTCTTTACATCAGGTTGGGCTACCCCAAAGCTTTGCCAGGGAAAAGACCCTTCGTCTCTGATATCCCAGGAAAGGATTCTGATCCCACAGTTCACTGGACTTAGTCATTGTGAGTGATCCACAGGAGAGGCACCAGGACCCAAATTGACACTGTACTCTATTCACTGTAGTTGACTCCACTTACTGAATCCATTAACATCCTGAGAACTGGAGGAGAAGCCTTCATCATTGCGGTTGGCGCTGAGCTTGGTGGTGGGCTTGTCAGCTGAGGCCACGGGGCCCATCTCCCTCTGGGCTCCAGTCTGTGTCTCCTTCTGCTTCTTAGCCAGCTTCCTTTGGGACATGTGCAAGGGAAAAATCACAGTCAGATGGTTCTAGTTGCATTCGAGGGCTGGGCAGGTAAGTTAGTCTCTTTTCCCATCCCCCATTCTCAACACCATATTTAGTTCATCCAACAGACGCAGAGGCAAGGCAGGCTGTCCAATGTTCAGGGTCAAGTAAACACAAGCCTTCCTGGAACTGGAGATCATTTCCACTTAGTAGCTGTTTGATCTGTACCAATGAGTGTGCTATATATTTGAGCTTATAATGAGACATCAATGAGGCTCTGCGATTCTTCCCCCACTTTCTCTTTGGAGGGAGGAGAGGTCAGGCTGGACCTTCTGTTTTCATGCCTCTAAACACCCTCCCCAGTAGTCTCAATGTGGAATTCTATATCTCTATAAATTATACCAAGCAACAGAGATTTTTATTCCTCCCTAGGGAACTAAAAGGTCAGAGGCTTCTTTTATGGACTTAGAGGTCTATTTTACTTGAATTTTAACCGATAGGGTTTAGATATTTCATAAGAGACACAGTCCAGCCTTCCTCAGAGATTGACTAATGAACGAATCTATCACACAGCCGTAGACTGAAGTGAGGGTTGGTGGTTGGTGAGGGTAAAGGTTAGTAATTAACTCAAAGACAGAAAAGCCGAAGCTGGACTTGACTCATAGACACTCCTACAGAAGCAACAGTCCCAGAGAACCAGAGAGGCATTTTTAATAATAATAGTGTAGAGGAGCATTTCTTAAAGTTTGTGGTAAATCTGAATCACCTGAAGATGTAAGACAGCACCCAGAGGCCTAGATTCAGGACCAGTAGATAGCCGCGAAGGTCCCCTTGTTGTCCTGACACCAACCATTGAGGCTACACCCCCTTTGGCTCTAGGCAGACATGAGTTCATAGCTTACCTCTGCTGCCTGCCTGGGGCAGGTTTATTGATCTCTGTCTATCCTGAACTCTTCTACGCGTTGCACCCAATAACAGGATTGGCCTCATATAGTCATAAGGATTAAATGAGGTAGCACATACAATACACAGCGCACACTGTTCGGCATTTAGAGGACAGCGACCACATGGATGCTGCTATTAAATCTTTGCTGACTCAACCAACCATATTCTAATGTTTCAACACCCTCCCAGCAGTCCCACAGTGGAATTCTGTCTTTGAATTATATCAAGTGACAGTGACTTTGATTCCTTGCTGGGGAATGAAAAGGTCAAAGGCTTCTTCTTTTATGGATTGAAAAATCTATTTCACTTAAATTTCAACTGATGGAGCTTAGGTATTTCATAAGTGATAAAAATATGATGACCCTTCTTGAATGTGGTCCCTATGGGTTTACACATACATCTAAATATAGTCATAATGTTCCTATCAGATGAAAATCTATGGGCTGAATATGTATTTTAAGGATAAACATCTCTGAGTCTACTGCTGTAGTCTTCACAGAACCTGGCTTGAACATTAGCCTTTCTTATTCTTGTTTCAGAGCAGAAAGAACTGGCATCCCAAAGAGGAGAAATTATATGTAACATAGGAACAGTGTTCCCAATCACAGATAGGCCATTTCAAGAGTTAATGATCTCCCTGCACAAGAAGCACTAAAGGAAAGGATAAATCTGGATGGAGAAGTATGTTAGAAGAGTTTATCCAGGTCCAACTCCCAATTGACAGCCTCCTCCTAAGAACATGGGTCCAATGTGTAGGTATAGACTACATAGAATGGCAGATGGTACCTTTAAGTGAAGATACTTTGAGAAGTCTTTATGTATAAAAGGGCTATTGAAAATGGTCATAAGGGCAGCAAGATGATATAACATAGAGACAAGCTACCCTGTTTCCTGCCTAGGAGCCCAGAGGGACAAGCACAGGAAGCCATAGTCAGAACCCTGAAGGAAAGAGTTGAAAAGAGAAGGCCAGATGGGCAGAATTTTTCTCTTGAAGGGTCCAGTCTATCCTAGATGAGCACACACAGAGGAAATCATGGGCCACAATACCCTGACTCTACTTGCCCCAGCCTCTGACTTCCCATAGCAGTCCTCATTAACAGAATCTAAATAATAGCTACAGGTGTCAAAGGACCCTCTGATGGAATCCCTGCAGAGCACAGCCCAGCAGTAGAAAGCATGACAGAGAACAGGACAGGGTAAATCCGGATAGAGAAGAGAATAGCTTTTATGGTTCTCATTTGGCCATAATTTGAAGATCAATGTAGCCTAAAGTGGAATTCTTCATTTATTTATTCTTAAAAATTGGCCTGGGGAAGGAATTGCACTCAAGAAAAGAAAGACTTTTTTTTTTGGTCATTAATGGTTTGGCCACAGGCAGACTGTTCTACAAGTAAAACTACTCCAGGTGGTCAAAGGAAAGACAAGAAATACAGCCTGTCCCTCTCTCACCATCATTAAGCAATCAACAGGCAAAGAGAACACCAACAAAAAGAAAAATTTTGTAGCTGATGGCATTTCAAAATTTTATTCTTCATTCATTATCAAAAAGGAGTCTGTTTAAAAATGTATATGTGACCTTCTTCATCATAAATTTGGAAGGATATACACCAGATATTTTGCCTCCATCCAAACACCCTCACATTGCTCCAGCAGGAAATAAAAGGAAAACTGATAAGAGAATTAACTTGAAAACTACAAATGAGTATGAATCAGAGCTCTGCTATTTCCTTGGAGGCAGAACTTCCAGCCAATCTCATTCCATTCAGGGTAAATAATATAGAAAGAGTTGTCTTTAACACAAATCACTGGCTTCCAAAGCAATAATAATAACCAAAAGAGATCTCACTGCTTCTTAGAAAAATGAAATTTTATAGAAATGTTAGGGTAGATCCAAAAACGTGCATACGTGCGCGCGTGCGCGCACGCGCGCGCACACACACACACACACACACACACACACACACACACACACCTACCTACATACATACATACAAATGAAAAGAAAAATTGAGCCTCTCCAAAACATGGAGGTATTTAAAATTTTAAAAACTAAGCTGTAACCCTCAGCTACATGATATCTATGTTAGCCAGGTTTACATAAAAAATACCTGAGACAATGAACTTCTAAAGAAAAAAAGTTGCTTGTAAGTCATTGGCTTGCTGATCCTTCTGCTTTTTTTTTCTAGCAAGGGGTGCACATTTTATATGGACATGGTAGAGCAAGCAGCTCAAGATGAGAGCCAAAAAACAAAATGATTTAGATTGACTGAGGTCTGAAAATTCCTCCCAGCGACTTAAGGACCTTCCACTAAGACTTACAGTTTCAAAGCATCTACAACACTGTACTCTGGGCCCCAGCCCTTAATACATAGTCCTTTGTGGGAGGGGTGGGGCTCCTCCAAACCATAGTAGTGTCCTGGGTATGAGCCCACAGCTGAAACTTTGGTGATGGGAGTCCTATGTGAGTGTTTTGGCAATAGGTAAACACAGTCCTAAAGGTGGAAATGGAGCAGGCACAGAAGAAAAGAAAACACAAACTCACAGCTGGAATTCAAAATTTAAGAATTAAAACTAATCCTACTCACAGGAAAAATTGGATATTTCTTGCCATTATCACAGAATTTAATTTATCTCTCCCATTTTATTTTTCTCCCTCTGGAGAAAACCCAAATCTGAAAATACCCAAGACCTTCAAATTATGGTCTAGGCCTCAGCTTAGCCTCCCATTCATACTTTCTAGTAAACAGCAACTACGTGCCCCACCCCACGATATTCAATACTCGTGGCCTTGATGTGTTCTTATTCTCCACTAGGCACCTTCCTTCATCTTTCAAAGTTGAAAGTCATTCCAATGTCAGACCTCCTCTGGGGCTTCTTGCTGCTCCACTAACAGAACTGTCATTTTCTCCTCTCAGGCTGACTCATTCTTTGGACAAATATTTGAGCACATACACGTATCAGGCTCTGCTAAACGTAAGAAAGCTGAACCTTCTTCACCTTGACCCTCTGCAAGCCCAGAGACAAACGACAAAGACAAGCACTAAATAGGTAAGTGCAGAAATATCAAATCGCAGAGACGGAGAATGCTAAGAAGAGATCATTTGGTGCTACTAGAGGGTTAATACTTGGTTTGAACCCTGGCAGGAGACCAGGAAGGGTTTTGAAGCCATGTCTGCTAAGCACTCATCCATTCCACGACAGTCATTCAACTCTCACCCACTAGGGTAAGCACCTCTTGGGAGAAGGGCTTTTGACTCCTTGTACCTACTCCAATTGCTTGCTGAGTATCTGGCACATAGCCCATGCTCAATAAATTTGTTGCACAAATTTATATTTAAAAGTCTATGATTTGGAGTGTAGAAAAGATTGTTATCTTGCTCTGAGTATAAATTATAACTACTTCAAAAGTAGATAAGTGCGACCGAAGAAGAGAAGGAACACCCTGCATGACATCAGTGTGGGCCTTGGAATATATGTTCCTTGGGATATTTGGGTAGATAACTCAGCATTTTGTTCTTGGAATATTTGCAGAATTAGTGGAATGTTTGCAGAAGTCTTTTTTTAAAAATACTCTGGATCCCACAGAGTATCCCACCCAAGTCACAGAACTTTAAAAACAAAACAGCCAAACATGATAAAATAGCCATATGACTCATGGGGTGGTCCTTCAGGGCCTTTAACACTCGAGCACTTGTGACTTTTCTGAACTTGCAAGTATTTCTCTATTAGTTTTGCAGTTCTTGTCAATTGGGTCATGGGATTTCACCAGCAGGGGGTAACAAAAGCTGAAGAAAAGAGAGCACACAGAGGCCTGTGGATTCCTCTGCAGGTCATTTCTCGAGCTGGAGAATGTTTCAGGACAGTAATCTGAACCTTATAAGGCCTTAAAGCTCGCTCTCCTCTGTAGACTTCTTCATTTCCTTCCTAAAATTATTTTCTTCTCTTTTGCTCATGAGTTTGTTGGACAAGCAGTTAATGTGCACTTACTTTATACCTGTGGCTGCAAGACAGGCTATCCTGATATCCTGATGAAAACAAAACAAAACGAAACAGACAGGAACCCTT